CACCATAAAATTCCATTAAAAACCTATGATTGAAAAGCTAATTTAAAATAAAATATTAAAACAATATACAATATTATACAAAATGAGCTATAAATACAATATTTAATGATCTTTCCCATTGCTATTTTGGAAACTAGGAAGTTGCAATTCAATACTTTGTCCTGTATGTTTAAATGTTGGGTGTTTGTACGTTAGGTGAAATACTTGTGTATAATGTTTTGTCTTATTACCTAACATGCAAGGAAAGCTTTGTTGAATATTCACTCTTAATTCTTGACCAGTTAATCTGTAAATAAGAGAATATTTATTATTGAAATAAAACTTAAGAAATATAATATACATTTGATGCTCTTTATCGCTTACTTGGAATATCTGTTACATAAAACTCCTACTAATTCTCCAACACGATCCTCTGGATATAATTTAGTTCCAGGCGTCATACTATTAATATTTGTCATCGAATAGTCATAGTTTCCATTTACAGCTCCTAATGATGACATTGGTGATGTAGCCATTGGCAACAAGCATACAACGAGATCATTTCCAAGTGGAGAATGTATTACCACCAATTGATCAGGGCCATTAGTCACAGACACGCTTGCAATCTGTTGGAACAATAAGATTGTTAAAGATTATTATTTTTAAATATTATATTATAAATAATTAATTAGACATTTGAATGATAAAACTATTGAAATAAGAATAATTAAAATCAATTTTTGATTATTAGTTCCTAATTCTAAGACAGTATTCATCAAAATAAATTTATTGTACATTACATTTTGAATTGGCACTGGTTTTTTCATTGATTTGAACTTTACTGCGTCAATTTTGTAAAATGAATTATCTGTGACTAGTAAACACGATCAGCTTTTATTGAATCTGAAATGTAAAACATCAAATTGTTAGACACCCAAGTATGAGTCTAGTGCGAAATTATCAAATGCAGAAAATTTACCTATTGAATTTGCGGACGGTGCAAGAGAACATTACTGTTGAAAATCGGTCTGTGTTCTTTAAATTATGTACGGTTGCATTGTATAAATTATAAACTGGATTCTCATTAAGATTGGTCATGTAATCACCAAGCCATCTTCGATTTTGACCCCATTCTGCTCGTTTATTTTCAAAACTGAAGCTGCAGCCACTTTTATTCTTAATTGAGGCCATTCTTCCTTCGGTACGCAGCTTAGAATCTTATACGATCGCCACCTTGTAAGGAATATTACAAATTTGTTACAAAAGTTAAAATCGACATTAAAAAAAAACTCACGATAAAATATTAAGTTAATATTTTATGTTATTGTAATTACCTCTGGTAAATTTTTCTCAAAGGCTCTTCAATGCCCTTGAGAGGTGGTTTTGGCCAAACAATGCTTTTTCCATAATCACGCATTCTTTCGGCATGTTGGAACTTTTGATTCATTTCGCTTACATAACTACGCAGTTTGTACCTCCTAAATTTTAATAAAAAATTTTAAACTTCATGCGCACATAAGAACTAATGATAAGAAAATTTTATAATTTAATATTGCACCTGTAGAATTTGATAATTGCATGAGCCGCTTTCATACGTTTGTATTGCTTCTCTGCAAATGTATCCTCGAATTTGCTTCTGAATCAGAATTATTATTCCTGGCATCATTTCATTGCGAGCTTTTTCTAATGCTAATAGTGTTTTTGGTGACCTTTCGTATATTGAAAAAAAAAATTAATAACCAATTTCATAGGCAAAATTTTAACTAATAATATTTTTGTCTAAGTGATGAGGTACCTAATAAATATTTTGTATGTCCATATTTGACATCCTTTCCAAAACCTTTCTGTTCCAGCAGAACACGAGTGCCGTCTTTATCATTACCATTACGGAAATTAGGCCATGTGTATTCAGAGATCATCTTGTATCTAAAATATAATTTATTAATTTCATGAAATTTCAGTACATTATTTATTAATTTAAGCAAAACTGGTATTAACCGTTTTAGGAATCGATCGTATCTCTGCCTGTATGCAAATCCGGCGCGACGTACTCTTACGTTCTCAACGAGACCCAAATATGAAACCTTGAAAAACATTTTTTTAAGTATAACTATACTACTAATAATATTTTTTTATCATTTTAAATAAATACAATAACTACTGTATACCTGATGTTTGCATCGTTCGTCATCAAATATAGTCGGACTTTTTATGTCATTTGGTTTAATGCATCGAACGTAAAATGGTTCTTTTGAACTTAAAGTTTCGACCAAAGCTAACATTGAATTGCAGAAGAGTGTTCCGGCAGTCTTCGGCCTTTTGGTTGTCTAAATAATCAATACATTCACAAGATTATTAGTAGTTCTATATAAGCAAAATTTAAAATGATTTAAATTATTCTTACTTTGGTGATGTCCAATGCTCCTTCAGGCCACATATTTTTAATTATAGGATCTGAAGAATTATACAGCAATCTTTTGAAATCTTGAAACAGAGTATCCTTGTTCTTATCTAAGAATCCTTTTATGCTGTATATCACATCACCTGCATAATGGCTAAAAAATATGTAAATCAAATTAATAAAATATGTATAATTAAAGTTTTATAGAAATAACTTAAGACGATTGATTTTCATTAGTACAATTATGCAATACATACGTTATTCTAAAATGTTCTTTGTGTTTTAATTGTTTATCCATAGGTTTAAGTTGTCTACTCGAATAATGGGCATGTACGCTTAATTTTTTATCCATCGCTTCCAAGAGCATTTCGTCAGTAACTTTTCCTACATTCAAGCAAGCTTCGTCCAAAATTGCTATTACGCCAACATGAGGTTGTTCAACCAGGTCACAAATCACCTAAAATAGTGAAAATATATTGATTCGAAAATAATGCATATCATTATATGATACAGGTATAATAAAAAACGTCTGGTATCTAAATGTTTATTATAAAACCTTGGTCATCAAAAGCACTTGAAGTTAAAAAAAATCATCATAATACATCATCAACTTCTATCTAATTTGCATATGTTGTTACTGAATTACTTATCAAATTTCACATGATTACTTAGATCAAAATAGAGTTTAAACATTTGTAATATGGTCTGATAAAATTGAAATCTGAAAAAATGAATTATTTTCTAACTGTATATCTTATCTTATTTTGTTGCTTTAGTATATCAGTAAAGAATTGTTATAGATTTGTAGTCGTGATCTATTATTTTTAGACAAAATTATAGACATTATTACATTTATAATAGTGTGCCACATATAGTAAAAAGAATATCGAGCACTTTCAGAAACTCGAAACTAGTTTAAACTCCAACACAAACTAAAAAAACATTATACAAACCTTATTATTGAAGTAATCAATATTTTTCCATTCGATTCCTTCCCTTCTATACTCTTCTTGCTCTTGTTTAAGAACCAACTCTAAAATATTAAAAAAATATAAATGAATATTAAGGACAATCAGCAACTACTTGTTAGAGTATAATTGTTACTCACCTATAAACAGTTGCTGCAATTTTTCATTACAATAATTAATACAAAACTGTTCGAAACTGTTATTGTCAAAGATCTCAAATCCGTAAATATCAAGAACCCCAATAACACGATTGTATCGAGTTTCTACATTTTGGGAAACTTGAATAACATTATTTATTTTCTCAACAATCCAAGTGAATAATTTAACATATATAGCTTTAGCCAAGGCATCTCGTCCGTATTCGGCTTCTGATAAGTTGTGATTTTTGCGCATAACATCACCTCTGGCAGCGATTACGCGCTGAGTTAGGGCTTCGTTCAATTCACGGTCCGTCACTTTTAGTAAGGTTGAGACATAGTTCATTTGCTTTTTATCAGATATTACTATTTTGTCTTGGTCGGCAGCAAAGGATACGTTTCCCTAAAATAAACTCAAATTATAATTACAAATTCATGAAAAATACAATTTAACAATGTTGTCATGTATATTGTTGTTCCAAGTAATTGTAAGTATTTTGTACAAACCAGATGCAAAATTGCAGCAACAATTCTCCATGCAGTATCACATTCGTCAACCGAAAAACCTAGTGTTTTCATTCCATTACAAGTGGTTTTAAAATCACTTTTGTCATTTATTGAATCGACATTGGACGCGCTGCCCTGAGAAGTGTAGTGATATAAGGCAGGATCTCTTGATAGATTATACTTTTTCAAATCAGATTCGACTGATCCTTTTATTAACTGAAAAAAAGATCAAGTCACTTTAAAATATGAATCAACATTTACAAAGCTAGACTAGATATTAGATGGTAAACCAGTGATTTCCAACCTTTTTTGCACACCCCCGCTCCAATAAAATTATTGTTGCGCCCCCCTTAATTTTTTCAACTATTCAATTTCATAAGTACTCAACTGATATTATCAGACTACAAATTATCATGCAATATTATGTAAAACTAGTGGGGTGTATGGCATCGTGCCTTAAGGCAAATTGCTGGAACTTCCCGTACCGTAACAAAATGTTCGAGGAATACTGAATGTTTTCAAATAGATTATTATAAATATTGTAATTGTATTGTAATATAAACAATGTAATTATTTTCGATATACAAAAAAACTAAAAAAAAAAAAAAAATACATTTTTTTTTCCAAAATCAATTATTTTCTTAAGACAAGCAGAAAGTTCTTTGAATCATTTAAATCGGACGCTTAGTTCTCTCAAAAACTGCCATTTTTTACATATTTAACTCCGTATCTTCAAAATGGCTGGGTCTGCCTTTGCCAAAAACTAATAAACACTTCTCCCAATCATTACTAATTGAATGTTTTTAGATCATTCAAATCGGATACTCCGTTCTCTCAAAAAGTCGATTTCTATTTTCTGCACTCGTTGCTCCGTATCTCCGAAACGGCTAGACCTGCCTTCGCCAAAAACTAATCAGCTCTTTTTCCTATCAATAGGAATCGAATGTTTTTTGAACCATTCAAATCGGTTGATCCGTGCGCCCGATAACGTGACTGAAAATTTGTATCCATACATACATACACACACACACGCACACACACACACATCCATTTTTTCTGAGGTATGCCAAAATGTTCAGAAACCTTCAAAACGTCGAGAAATGTAAAAATTTTCAATTCCGATTTTCGGCCCATTACAATAACTTACCCTACGGGTAGTTCAAAATATGCATAAAAACGAATTATTTTTTTGTATTTTTGTATGATTTAAAAAAAATAGTTCATTTTTGAAAATAGTATTTTGGAAGCAGAGGTAGGCGCCCCAGCTTATAAGAGTCAGGCCCCCTTATAAGAGGGTGAGCGCCCTACAGGTTGGAAACGGAGGTGTTAATCCATACCTGATAAAAGCTGTGAAAGTTTCTTTCTCCTGCTTGTTGCTGAATAACTCGAGATTTTTCAAGCAAGTAGTTTGTGATGTGACCACCGACTGGATCGCCTTTAAAATCAAAACTGATATCCATATATTTTCCAAATCTGGATGAATTATCGTTGCGGTTAGTTTTGGCATTTCCGAATGTTTCCAAAATTGAATTTGACTGAATTAACACATTCTTTACCCTAAAAAGAATTAACTTTAGGTATTGATTTATCGGTAAATTCATGATGAAAACCATATAAAGTTTATATATTACATTATATATAGAATTTATATTAAAAACCTACCTTTCGATTTCCGCTTGTTGCCCCTGATTAGTTACTGCTGCAATGTACTTCATAATAATTTTGGAGGCTTCTGTTTTACCAGAACCTGATTCTCCGCTGATTACAATGCAGGTGTCCGTTTCCTTCTGCTTCAGAGTCTTGTAAGCGCTATCTGCTATCGCAAAAATGTGGGGAGGATTTTCGAACAACTCGCGCCCTAAAATTAATTTTATTTTTATTAGCTTTGTAGATATTCTTTAAGACAATGACACTTAAAATTGGTTAATAAATAAAAACACAAAGGTTGTATTGCCATACAATAATGTCTGTAGAACACAGCAATTCTATTAAAAATGCCAGGGTATTCTTATGAAGAATAAAGACAAGAAACATGAAATCAGAACAACATATTTCTAAGACAAAAATTCGTACGGTTTTTTAATTTGATGCATTGGAGGAAAGTTGAAAGCCATATCTGATATTAGCTATAAAATTGTAAATTCATAGAAAAACCAGTTCATTACAAAATTCTAACTGAACTATCAATTATGATATAGAATGTGTACTTACAGACAGAAAAAATATTCATTCACAACATAACAATTAAAATAGAGAAATGCCAATTAATACAAAAAATGAAATATAACTGAATTAAAATAAGTACTACAATAGAGATAAATTAATTAAATTAATTAATAAAAAATTAAATATGAACACTCTAGACAACACAGAAATGTTCACATTGGACATAATAGAAAGAAGAAATTAAGGGCAAATGTCATATGGAGCGCATGAAAAATATATAATAAACTGCCAATCAATATTAAGATGACCAGTGATGACAATAACTTCAAAAGGAAAATAAATAAATATTATAAAGAAATTGAAGACGAAAAAGATTAAAGAGATATTTAAAGATATTTTAAATATAGGGCTAATTAATGTATAATGAAATAAATGATATGTATATATAAAATATATAATTTGTTTCATAATCTCTTATACCGGGCACCCTTGCCTGACTGAGATATGAAAATAATATATCGATTAAAAAAAATCTTTGATATTATCGTGAATTCCAAGGCATTTAATAATGCATAAGTTTGTATGCGTACAAACTTAATACAAAATATTATACTCTTCAAAATTCAAATAAGTACTGAAATCTTATATAAGTTTGGTTAATATAAAGTTATTGATTGAAATGAGAAAGTAGAAGGAAAAATGTAGACTGATTGAATTCAAGATAATTGGTTTCAAACCAACTGAATTTCGCTTCAGGTTAAAATGTTAAAGTATTAGATATAGCTTTAGGCGCAACTGTGAAAGCATAAAATTCAATACCAAACGTTCAATCTTATTTACCATGAAATTCGTCAAAAATTTTACATTTTAGTATTATTTATCGTTGCTAAATTTAACCATGCCAAATGCAGAAGACAAATTCAGAAAGAACAATAATATTCAAGATGTTTATTTATCTTGTTTCTTTTGGCAATGAGCATTTAAATATACCTTTGTATTGTGTGACGTAGTTTGCTCCATATATGTTCATGGGCCGGTAAGGATTGACCGAAACACATACTTCGCCAATATAGGTGTAAACATTTGCGTGCTGGTATCTGAAATAAAAATAAATTAATTAATTATCTAAATATCTTAATAACTGATATAAAAATATACAAAAAAAATTATGAAAATTATAACAAGTAGAGGCATATTAAAATTAATATTTTGAAAGTTGCAAAGTAATAATCTTCTTATAGAGTCTGGGATAAAAAAAAAATATATATATAATCAAAAACCATATGAAATTAGACAAATATCCAAATCCAGCAATGCAATTAATAAAAAAAAAATGCTCCAACCAGAAGGCTCAAAAAATGGCCACAAGACCTACTAACTTTTTAATTAAAGCACTGTTTCTTTTACTCCTCACTGGAACACAGATTATTATATGGGAATCTCCTCACTGGAAGAGATCTCTAAATGACATTTTATTGGATCACTTAATGAATCATAAAAATTTGTATTTCTGATTGTCTATAATGAATAAAAAAATTATATAATTAAAAGCTTCTCGCTGGATGCATTATTGATTTTTTTTAGGTTCTTGAGATTCATACAATATTGATATATAAAGCTACTATTCATTTTTTTATTTATTGGCCTCCGATGAACATTTAGCCATACTATTCATTATTTATCTGTATTCAAAATATATTAGACAAAAATCATTCAGGATAAAATTTTACATCTTACGATGTAAATTGGATCTCGATGACAATTGAATTTTCATCATCGAGATGAAATAATTCTTCATCTTACAGCTCTATATAAAATAAATTACCCATATAAAACCTACTATGTCTATGATATGGAAAAGCCATATCTTGTTCAGAAGCTGCCATTAAAAGGGCCCAAAAATAATTCATTTCAACACGAGCCTATCATAGTCGATAAAATGAAGATTATCATAAATTTAGAAATAAAATAGAAGTTTTAATTCCTGGAATATTTCAAGAACATCTAAAAATCTAATGACTAGATTTAGGGCTTATAAATTACATGAAGATATAAATTATATAACATCAAAAATACAATGATTTTTATTACTATCTAGAAAGCGTAATCCTCCAAGTGCAAGTTAACGAAATGATAGCGACGATAATTTTCCAAAAACCGGTTCGATGAGATCACTTTTATTTCAGTTGCTATATTTCTTGTTCTCTGATGAAATTCAATAATCTTTATGAGTTATATCTTAATATTAATTTGTATGCACTGATAAAACATAATCCTGCGCTTATAGATAAACAGCATATATGCATATGAAACAAAAATGATTTCAAGGTAACACTCAGGTAAAACCAAACCAAAATCAAAGTGCATTCCAAAATACAGATAATAATTAAATTAATTATTTATTAATAATTATTAGTCTGATTCGGCACTATTTCCAAACGGTTTTAGAATATGGGCGGTGATTAACGTACTTGGTGCAGTACCGTTAAATATGCGTGCAAGGAATACGCCACAAGTCATCAATTGTCTCCCAAACAATTGTTTGTATTCAAACCGAATCATTTATCAAAGCATTGAAATATTTGACCAAATAAAACACAAAGGCAAGTTGTTTAAAAAGCAAATTCCATCAACCTATAGTATCCACGCTTATATTCAGAGTCACTTGTTTCAAGTTTAAATGCATTTTAATTATACATAAATTAATAAAATAGGAATTTCATTTATAATGTAAATATAAAATTCGTAAGTACGCAAGCACAAATAAATCTACAAAGTTAATTTTAATTATTACACGTTAATTTTTTTAATGCTCATTAGTATTTCAAACAATCTGAAAACTTATAGTTTGCAAAACTAATATGTTAGTAAAGTAAAGCTCAACCCAGTGCTTATAAATTTATAATAATATATTATGGGTATTATATGTTTTTCGTCATTTTGTTAACCTATACCTATATAATCATAATGATCCATTACATTAAGCTAACAATATTTTTTTTTAATTCCTCTATATGTATAATTAGTCTTAAATAGATACTATTAGTCTTATATAGATACGATTAGTCGTATATAGATACAAGCTCTGATACTAATTTTCTGCATTACTCATAAATACACATTTTTTAATCTTCAAAAATAATGTAATAATCTGCAAGCTTTATTTTATAAATAAATAAAATTGAATAACAAATTTAGGAACGACACAAGGTTAAAATGTACCAAGTTCATAATAGAGCCTAATAACTAATATAGAGTATTAATAAATGAATTAATTAATTTTTATAATTATTATAATTAATCGCATAACGAATTATTTATATTAATATTATCACAAACCATAGTTTTACGTATAAATCTTTGTATACTGCTATTTATCGCAAATAATGAATATTATATATTTCTCATGTAATGCTTATATAGTAGAAAATTAGAATATTAAAAAGAAAAATATGGAAGAAAGCAACAAAATACTATACTCGACTAAACCCTTATTTGAAAGAAAATTACTACTTTTCTTAGCTTTTTCTTGAGTATTAATTAATGAGTTTATGATTCTTTAAGTGTGATTTTGCAGATCAAATTAGGAGCGTTTTAGTTTAAGTGTTTTTAAAATATAAAAGGGCATCTATTAATCACGTAACCGATTTTTTTAGAGATTTTTGGACCCCCTCCCCCTTGGTGATACGTCGTGATATTTAAAATTACCCCTCCCCCTTAACAAACATCATGTGTAATTTTAGTCACGTGAAATTTTTCGAAAGAATTTTTCGAATTTACAAAAATCGTTTTTTTAAAAGATGTTTCAATTTTTTAGAAATTCAGGTAAAAAATAAATACGTGTGATATCTTTCTAGACCCCTCACTCCCCACACGTGATGTTTGGTAATTTTTTATCAAATCCACCCTCCCCCTGAAAGCCTCACGTGACGCCCACTAATAGTGCTAACTCTATTTTTACAGGCTATTGCAAACCCAGTAGTTAGTTTTTACTGAATTTTATTTAAAAATAAATTATTTTGAAATAATTATTTAAAATTATTGATAAATCTCAATATGTGGTCAGCATCAGAATTTGAGGAAATAGTGATATTCATGGCTTGAAACTACTTTAGATAGTAATACTAATATGCGTAGTGGCTTTTTATCACATATTTTTTATTTATGTAATGAAACAATCTGCGGTGTCAAAGCCAAAAATAATCATATTAGTCCGGAATTTCACATCCGTGTCAGTGAAGACAAATTTTAATTTTGACTTTGATGCTAAAAATAAATTTTGATACTATGAATTTATTAATGCACGCATTCGATTAATAATAGTACTAGTATTTGCATCGAATATATAATTACTGCAATTAAATGAGGAATGATTCAAATTACCACAATTTTTTTCAAGTCAATACAATTTAGCGCCAGGAAAAGAAAAAAAAAATTACTTAGAGCATATTTCGAGAATCAAATTCTATTTATATTTAATAACTTACTTTCATTTGAAGACCCGGTTATTAGCATAACGTTTCCAAATTACAAGTTAATAATAAATTCCGCAACACTATTCGATATTTACTGTTACACCTCTGTCTAAAATATTCCTTCAAAAATATTTACTAAAGACTTTCATTTACAATAACGGTTAATAAATTCAGTCAAACTATTATGAATCAAAAACCAGAATTTGTTAAAAATAATTGATATGTGATGTTGCAAGAATTAACATGACCATAAAGCAGCAAGAATTAATAGATCGGAACTTCTTTAACAATATGCAGCGACTTTATTCATTATTTGAAGAAATTATTGCAAGAGAGGTCACACGTGGTTAATACCACTATTTGTTATGAAGTCTTAGACATGAATGTATAGACAATGACATACTTGTGTAAATAAACATTTATGTTTATAGTTAGCTATGTTGTTCCATAGTGGATAAGCATTATGATCAAAAGTATCATTAAATATTTTTTTTATTAGTATCATTTTTGATCAGCAGTCAGAACGTGAGAGTCCTATAAGCTGTTGTGCTAAATTGACTTAATAGTAGTCGGTTCTACATATGGAAATGCAAACAGTTGTCTAATATTTGTGTGATGAATTATTATTACAATTTCAGTTATTATGTTTGGACGTTCTTTCGTTTTATTATATTGGCCATGAAGGTGACAATCTTCATGGCATTGAGCTTTTACACGGAAGAGGGGGGTAACGAAGTGTTTTGATAAAACTAATTGTTCACTTATAAAAGTAAAGCCCGCAAAACAACATTTATTATTAAATTAACAACAAACAACATTATTAACAAATCAGTTACTGTAATAAGAACTGCAACAAATACATAATATATCAACAAATCAGTTGATAATGCAGTCCACAGCTACAAGAAGAATTTAATATAAATTCTATAACAGCGTGGCAAAATACATATCATTTGAACAAGCTGTTTATAACTACATATTGTTTTTTAACCTATTTTTATGCCTGTCACAACCGTCCTGGGGGTGTGTGTTATGACTATTATTTAGTTAGTTATATCTTGTATTATTTGATTTTATGACTAATTCATCATATTTAAGGATAGAATTTCAGAATTTTCACATAGACAAATGTTCAGATTACCATTTAATTTACTTTTGTCCCGGCTAAATGATAAACTGATAAAACTAATGCAGATAAAAAAAAGTGGCACAACCGTACCCAATCTCTCCTAATACTGAAGTTTATGAAATTGGCCAACTTGAGATAATAATGCTTTTTAGTGTAATAATAAAAGAATAATAACCAGATTATTAGAAATAGTTGATTTTGCTATAAATCATATTGATATGATTTACACCTAATGCACAATATGGATAAATCATAATTGAACGATTTTAATATAGAGCGATCACTGAGTATTTGAGATCTGTCTTTACATAGATACTCTATAATTAAAGTAACTCATATTTATTTTCTACTTAAATAACAATTTAATTTTAATTAATGCAATATTGATCTTGGAAAAATGTATATAGTTTCATATAACTACAACAATTAAAAATAAAGCTTTAGCTTCAAATATAAAATATTGTTCTCACATTTTATTCTTATCAACATAAAT